CTTCAAGAGGGCATTAGATGACTGTTGGGCTTCTACCTTTCCTGAAACAGTTTGAAAAACCTATTGACTCGCAGTGTTGGAAACCACAAGAACAGCCAACAACACATCAATTTGGACGCAAGATTGGCCCGGGCCACACATCGTCCTGTGCAAACTGAACTGAAGTGAACTGATCTCTTCGAGCGTCCTGCGTTACACCGGAATTTTCGGTGAATTTCTCAATTTCCTGATGAAAAATGTTTGTTGTGGCAGAAAACCTCATTTCCAACTGCCTATTCTATATTTATCATTTGTTTTCAAGTTTGGAATTATAAAAACATAGTTTCCAAGAACTTGATTTCGTATTAAAGAAAATACTGCTAAGTGAGCCAACTCGAAAACTTCAGTTCCGAAGCCCGTCAATCCCCGTGAATTCCAAAAGCTGTCGAAGCGCATCGAGAGATTGTGGCTCGATTGCACAAGAAACTGGACGCTCGTTTGGCATCAGCCGCTAGTCCTGTGACCTGATCTGACCTGGATACTAATGGACTTTCTGTATTCGATCACCGATATCTCCGAAGCATTGCTCGTGTCTGGTGGAAGCATCGGGTGGGCAATGACGAGGTCCGTCGTCGTGTGCTGGGTGTGGATAGTCGCCCTCTAACATAAGTAATCGCTCTGCACCGCATCCGGTGGTTTGTTCACGTTTTGCGTATTCCTGCCCATCGACTACCTTTGCGTGCTCTCTTTGCACGTTCCGGGTGAGGCTGAAAGAAGCACCGCGGAGTTCAAACCATGAAATGGCATAAAGGTATGAAGCAGCTGGCTTCAGCTTTGGCTTCGGTTGGTGCAGCCCGCCTCCCAGTTTGGGGCCCAAGGGATGAGGATTGTCGTTGGTTAGAGACGCTGAGAGATAGGGCCCAGAATAAAATGAATGGAGCGAAAACTGTATGGTTTGCCCGTCGTAATCCCGTGCCCCATAAGAAAAAAGACAAACTATCACAAAAATATCAAAAAGTGTATTGTGAAACACAAAGATTGTCATCCCATTTATGTGCTATTTCCCATTTTAGCAGTTCCATCTTTTTCCTATGTTCTGTATCCCAGCCTCCCCTCGTTATCGTTATTATTGTTTTTGCGTTGGCACCATGCTTGTCCGCAAGGCGATGCTCGTTGCCCGAAGACAAAGGAGAAGAAATAATGATCAAAATATGCCAACAGCTCAACCAACAGAAACAGTCGCAGCTGATCCCTGATGTCGAAATAAAAACATTGAAATCGCTGAAAAATGACTCCAATATTATCATTCTTCCGGTGACAAAGGCAATGCAATCGCACTGTTGGACAAAACAGAATATACGAAAAAGGTGAAACAAAAAAAGATAAAACATCGAGGACAAAGAAACTTATCAACCGGTCAACGGGAATCGCTTAAAGCAGCTGAGGAAGCAACTACCTAAATCCTTTTTCACTCTCAAGAAAAACAAGAAACTAACGGATGACGAATATAGACGAGTCAAACCCACTGAAGGTCCGATACCACGGTTCTATGGACTACCGAAAGCTCACAAACCCGATGTACCACTACGACCCATTGTCGCATCCACAACAGCACCCAATTACAATCTCGCAAGGTACCTGTTCCAACTACTACGCCCATCATTACCTGCAAAACAAAATAATTCAAAAATGTCCCACGATTTTCCTGGAACGCATCAAGGGACTGACCATTGAACCAGATGAAGTGATGGTCTCTTTCAATGTGACCTCACCGTTCACCAATATACCGAAGCAAATGGCCATCGAAAGTATCCGATACTTGTTGCAAAACGACCAAAATTTGCAACTAAGAACGAAACTTTCTGTGGACGAAATGGTGAAACTCGTAGAACTTTGTATGGAAACCTATTTCCAATTCGACGGGAAGGTGTACCAGCAGATACGAGGAACTCCAATGGGTTCGCCACTCTCAGGGCTGCTTGCGGATGCGGTTATGAAACACTTCGAAGCCAAAGCCTACTACAACCTCGTCTGTGGATTCGTTATGTGGACGATACATTCGTCATACTCAGAGCCTCCACAGTAGATCAGTTCCACCAAATGATCAACGAGCAGGTGTCCGGCATCAACTTCACACGAGAGGAAGAAAAAATGGACAACTCCCCTTCCTCGGCATCCCTCTCATGAGGCAACCCGAAGGAAGAATCCAAACCACGGCCTACCGAAAACCGACCATGACGAACCGCATCCTCAACTACAACAGCAATCACCCTTTGTGCCACCTAAAAAGTTGTGTGCAAACTCTATTCCGCCGAGCAA